CATCCCTTCAAAATCCCAGTCTTCTAGCTTCTCACTTTCCCGAGTTAGCAACTTACCCGGGAGAAAGTTTCAGGGACCCGTACGTAGGAATCACGCTTACCCGCGGGCGGGGTTTGAACTCGCTGATACTTACTTGAAGGAGGAACATTACCCTAAGATTTCAGCGTTCTAGCTTCTCAGACCTCCAAGTTATGAACTCACCCGAAAAAAATTTTGGCGGGCCCGTACGCGGGTACCACATTTACCCGGGGGTGAGTTTCTGTGCTTTAACACCTACTTGAACGGGGAACACCCTCCTAAAATTTCAGCGTTCTAGCTTCTCGGACCCCCGAGTTATGAACTTACCCCAAAAAAACTTTGGCAGCTTCGTACGTGGGTATCACGCGGGTTTTGGCGTCCATTTTGGGGATTGGAGCCGGCATGCGCATGTAGATTAATTTCCCGAAATTTCAACCCCGCAGCTTTTATAGGTCTTGAGATGAAAGTGCGTGACAGACGCACACACAGACACACAGACGCACAGACACACGGACACATAGACAACCCCTCGTCAATATGCGTTTTCTGCATTGCATAGCTGCAAAAAACGCATAAAAACTTCATAAATACAATAATATATGATTTCTTACCCTTCCTCCTCCCCTCCCCCCTCTTCTTCTGCGCCCCCTCCCCCTCCCGCTCCGCTCTCAGCATTCCCATACGCCGATCAATATAAAAACAGAAAACATAAAGTATAAGACACAGCGACTGTCGGGTATATCGCAGTTGGTGTGGTGTCCTTCCTGGCGGCCAGCCCTATGTGGCGTTGGTACACCACTGACGACACCGATGCGATACTGATAGCTCAATGATGCAGTACCTAATCTGCCTTATATAGGCAGGTCATATGGTGGATGCCTGTCCGCTCAGTCATATCGCGCCACTGGAGTCACGACAGAAAAGAAATGAAAGAAACCAGTCTTTGCACCGCGCCTGAAGTTAGTTTGCAGCAGATTCAGTTTTTGCT